GGGCGCGCGCGAGGTGCGGGCAGGCGGGCCCGGGCGGCGTGGCCTGGCTTCCCCGGGACCCGCCGCAGCCTCACCTGACGTGAACAGCACGATGGCTTTGAGGCAGCTGTACTCGGCCGAGTCGACGTGCAGCGCCTTGAGCTTCTCCACCTGCTCCTGAAAGATGCGGATGTGGTCCATGAAGGCCACGACGCGGTCCGCGGACATGGGCGAGGCGTGCAGGCCGGCGGCGGCCAGCAGCGGCGCCACGTGCAGCGGCATGGAGCACTGGGCCGCGTTGAGCACGAACAGCTCGCTCCAGGTGAGGCGCAGCAGGGACACCTGGTCGGTGATCTGCAGATCCGGGAAGAAGGGGATGTTGCGGGCCCACTCGACGGCGCTGAAGAGCAGGCGCGCGGCCAGCTCGCAGATGTTCTCGATGCCCATGATGTTGTTGGGCTGCATGCACTGGCTGCCGTAGCGCGACGTGGGGTAGGGCTCGGCGCGCAGCAGCAGCGAGATGTAGCCGGACAGGTAGCAGTGGCCATTGAGGGGGTCCCCGTTGGTGAGTGCGTACTGGCCTGGATTGGGCTGGGTTGGAGGCATTCTTCCTCGCTGAACCGCTGACAAAAAGAGAGAGAGAAAAGAGGCAATGTGCATCCAGGGACTTGCAGAACACCGCCGCCGCCGCCGCCGCCGCAGCGCACCCGACACAATGCAGAAGCTCTTCCCGCAGCCGCAGCCACACGCGCCCGGCGCCTCGCATCTTCCTGGCTCTCCCCTCATAGCCCAGGCCTCGAGGAGATCCGGGGTGAGGCCCTTTAGCTTCGAAGCCCGAGGTGGTCAGCCGTAGCCTGCGCCCCTGGCCACCTCCGCCCCAGCGGAACTAGGCCTCACTTCAGGGACCCCCAGCCTGGCATGGCCCACAAGGTGCCACCCAGCCCCTCGACCACCAAGAAGGTACACACAGATCACGGCAACCCCACTCACCCCTCTAGAATGTAACAAGTCAGGGTTAAAAAAAAAAAAAAAGGCGAAACCTGAGAAAGGTTGTGGTTCGAGGCAAATGTCTAGCGGCCTCTTCATTTGCAAACAAGCAGCGTTTTGCACATAAAATGATTCCATATTCTCTAAAAACACTATAGAATTACCCTTAAAACAGATACAAGGTCCACGTCCTACTAACCACTTACAACTTTTGAGTGGAGAGCAAGCACCCCGCACCCCTCCCCTCACCCCTCCTCCCCCGTCACCCCCTTCAAAGTTCTCACTATTAAAAGCAACAGAAAATCGGAAAATTTCAAGAAAAAAAGTTGAACTTACAGTAGCCAAACATTATTGAAAAAAGTGGGAAATATAATTAATGTCTGTCCTGCGTGGTGTCACTGCAACCTGCAGCCAGCTTTGCCCAGTGAGTGCACGAGCTTGCAACTGCAAAAACACTGGATTCATTAACCATCTGAATGCAAAACGTAAGCATGCTTTGAGTTCTTAAAGCTGACCAAAGTTTTTTTTTTAAAATGTGTATGTTTTTCTTCAACAGTGCCAGCGTTTTAAATTGCCATGTAAACAAAGACAACTTTAGGAAAAGTTAGGGCTACTGAAATCTCCCCCCAACAAATTGATATAGATATGTCCATGTACACGTAGCTGTCTTATTTCAGGTTGTGCACTATTTTCTTAAGTTTGCTTTGATTCTAATTTCAATGCAAGTTCCAGTGCAATTTAAGCTCCTGAAACATAATGGCTAGAATACTTTTTTCTAATTATAGTTTTGAACTTGGCAGTTATTTTTCAATTAAATGAGAGCACAATTCAAAGTTTTTTTTTTTTTTTTCAGATGCCTACAAAATCTCCCTGGAGCTAGAAATGAAGTCGTCATATTTGCCTGATCCTTGAGATCTGAAGGAATTCAATTTCTTTTCTTGTGGCATATAAAATATAATTTTAAAGTCAATTACAAGAAGGAGTAATCTGCATCCTGCAAAATTGACTGGTTCTCTAATTTGACGATAAGACAATCTTTAATGATTGTCAGGAGATAAACTTTAACTATAAACGGCTAAATATATTTGTAAGAAAAGTACTGCATCTCTAGCCACATGAACATGAAGCATATCCAAATACAACATCAAAAGTTGTGTTAAAAAAAAACAACAAAAAATCCATACAACACAGAGATTAAATGATGTGGAAGCCCATGCCAGCTGCAGTCTATGCATTACGGCCAAATCAGAAGGATCAGTAAATGCCGTTGTAAATTGTAATTTGTATGCAGTATTTAAGCAGAGGGTGGAGTTTGATGAAGAAATAAAATGAGTATCATGCTTTAAAAAAATGACACTACTATGAAAGCGCGGTTCAGTCACAAACTTTCCTTTCAAAGTAGAGGGGTGAAAACAAGGCCACAGCTCTGGAGGAGGCGGCCCCAGCTCCGTGAAGAGGAGAGGGAGCCAGTGAACAGGCCAGGAGCCCCCCTTCCCCCCTAATTAGACCTACAAGTGCAATAAATCTCACTCCTCTTTTCCCAAGCTAAGCTTGCAAAAGGATGATGGCAGCAATGAATCTAAGGTTCAGGATACTCCAGCCCCCTCCCATTTTAAATAAATGGTAGGAAGAGGTGCAGGGGAGAGTGGAATGAAAAAACACAGAAAGCAGCGTGTGTGTGGGGGGAAGCACCCATGCCCAAGTTCATGCCAGCACAGCCCCAAGCATCCTCACGCACGCGCGGGAAAGAGACACACACCGAGCACAGCCCACAGGGTTAGGGAGGCGATCTGCAGCCACGGCTCACGTCCCAGGGACACAATCCTGAGCAGGCAGCGGGCGGGGTGGGGGAGCGGGGAGAGCAGCGCAGGCTGGGAGGGGGAGGCAGCGGCAGCGAGGTGGGGGGCGCTGGGGGAGGAAGCGGCGGGGACTGGGGAAGCCGGGACGGCGGGGACCACAGGAGCCCCAGCCCCACACAGCAGCCACGGGGTGAGAGAAAGAAAGAGGGCCAGGGAGGCGGGCGAAGCGCGGGGACAGAAGCAGAGAAGAAATATTCACCTTCCCGCCTCATGCCCACTTTGAGGCACTTCTTGAGGCGGCAGTATTGGCACTGGTTGCGATGGTGCTGGTCGATGGGACAGTTCCTGTTGGCACGGCATGTGTAAGTTAAGTTCCTGCGGACGCTCCTCTTGAAGAAACTTTTGCAGCCCTCGCAGGTGAATTGGCCGTAGTGCTTGCCGCTCGACTTGTCCCCGCACACCACGCACTCGATGTGCTGCTGGCTCTGGCCCGAGCCGGGCGGGCCCTGGCCCTTGTCCCCCGCCGTGCCGGGGGTGGCGGGCGCTCCGGGCTGGCCCGGGGTCTGCGGCGTGTGC